GGTTAGGTAGTGGAGGTTGTTGTTAAGTATGGGTGGTTGGGTAGTGGAAGTTGTAGTTAAGTACAGGTGGTTAGGTAGTGGAGGTTGTAGTTAAGTACAGATGGTGAGGTAGTGGAGGTTGTAGTTAAGTACAGGGGGTTAGGTAGTGGAGGTTGTAGTTAAGTACTTGTGGTTAGGTAGTGGAGGTTGTAGTTAAGTACAGGTGGTTAGGTAGTGAAGGTTATAGTTTAGTACTTGTGGTTAGGTAGTGGAGGTTGTAGTGAAGTACACATGGTTAGCTAGTGGAGGTTGTAGTTAAGTACAGGTGGTGAGGTAGTGGAGGTTGTATTTAAGTAGAGGTGGTTAGGTAGTGGAGGTTGTAGTTAAGTACTTGTGGTTAGGTAATGGAGGTTGTAGTTAAGTATATGTGGTTAGGTAGTGGAGGTTGTAGTTAATTTCAGGTGGTTAGGTAGTGGAGGTTGTAATTAAGTACAAGTGGTTAGGTAGTGGAGGTTGTAGTTAAGTACAGGTGGTTAGGTAGTGGAGTTGTAGTTAAGTACAGGTGGTTAGGTAGTGGAGGTTGTAGTTAAGTACAGGTGGTTAGGTAGTGGAGGTTGTAGTTAAGTACATGTGGTTAGGTAGTGGAGGTTGTAGTTAAGTACAGGTGGTTAGGTAGTGGAGGTTGTAGTTAAGTACAGGTGGTTAGGTAGTGGAGGTTGTAGTTAAGTACAGGTGGTTAGGTAGTGGAGGTTGTAGTTAAGTACAGGTGGTTAGGTAGTGGAGGTTGTATTTAAGTACAGGTGGTTAGGTAATAGAGGTTGTAGTTAAGTACAGGTGGTGAGGTAGTGGAGGTTGTAGTTAAGTACAGGTGGTTAGGTAATAGAGGTTGTAGTTAAGTACAGGTGGTTAGGTAGTGGAGGCTGTAGTTAGGTACTGTTGGTTAGGTAGTGGAGGTTGTAGTTAAGTACAGGTGGTTAGGTAATAGAGGTTGTAGTTAATTACAGGTGGTGAGGTAGTGGAGGTTGTAGTTAAGTACAGGTGGTTAGGTAATAGAGGTTGTAGTTAAGTACAGGGGGTTAGGTAGTGGAAGTTGTAGTTAAGTAGAGGTGGTTAGGTAGTGGAGGTTGTAGTTTGTGGTTAGGTAGTGGAGGTTGTAGTTAAGTACAGGTGGTTAGGTAGTGGAGGTTGTAGTTAAGTACAGGTGGTTAGGTAGTGGAGGTTGTAGTTAAGTACAGGTGGTGAGGTAGTGGAGGTTGTAGTTAAGTACAGGTGGTTAGGTAGTGGAGGTTGTAGTTAAGTACTTGTGGTTAGGTAGTGGAGGTTGTAGTTAAGTACAGGTGGTTAGGTAGTGGAGGTTATAGTTAAGTACTTGTGGTTAGGTAGTGGAGGTTGTAGTGAAGTACACATGGTTAGGTAGTGGAGGTTGTAGTTAAGTACTGGTGGTTAGGTAGTGGTGGTTGTAGTTAAGTACAGTTGGTTAGGTAGTGGAGGTTGTAATTAAGTACAGGTGGTTAGGTAGTGGAGGTTGTAGTTAAGTATTTGTGGTTAGGTAGTGGAGGTTGTAGTTAAGTACAGGTGGTTAGGTAGTGGAGGTTGTAGTTAAGTACAAGTGGTTAGGTAGTGGAGGTTGTAGTTAAGTACAGGTGGTTAGGTAGTGGAGGTTGTAGTTAAGTACAGGTGGTTAGGTAGTGGAGGTTGTAGTTAAGTACAGGTGGTTAGGTAGTGGAGGTTGTAGTTAAGTACAGGTGGTTAGGTAGTGGAGGTTGTAGTTAAGTACTGGAGGTTAGGTAGTGGAGGTTGTAGGTAGTGGAGGTTGTAGGTAAGTACTGGTGGTTAGGTAGTGGAGGTTGTAGTTAAGTACAGTTGGTTAGGTAGTGGAGGTTGTAGTTAAGTACAGGTGGTTAGGTAGTGGAGGTTGTAGTTAAGTACAGGTGGTTAGGTAGTGGAGGTTGTAGTTAAGTACAGGTGGTTAGGTAGTGGAGGTTGTAGTTAAGTACAGGTGGTTAGGTAGTGGAGGTTGTAGTTAAGTACAGGTGGTTAGGTAGTGGAGGTTGTAGTTAAGTACAGGTGGTTAGGTAGTGGAGGTTGTAGTTAAGTACAGGTGGTTAGGTAGTGGAGGTTGTAGTTAAGTACAGGTGGTTAGGTAGTGGAGGTTGTAGTTAAGTACAGGTGGTTAGGTAGTGGAGGTTGTAGTTAAGTACTTGTGGTTAGGTAGTGGAGGTTGTAGTTAAGTACAGGTGGTTAGGTAGTGGAGGTTGTAGTTAAGTACAGGTGGTGAGGTAGTGGAGGTTGTAGTTAAGTACAGGTGGTTAGGTAGTGGAGGTTGTAGTTAAGTACAGGTGGTTAGGTAGTGGAGGTTGTAGTTAAGTACAGGTGGTTAGGTAGTGGAGGTTGTAGTTAAGTACAGGTGGTTAGGTAGTGGAGGTTGTAGTTAAGTACAGTAGGTGGTTGGAGGTAGTGTAGTTAAGTACAGGTGGTTAGGTAGTGGAGGTCGTAGGTAAGTACAGGTGGTTAGGTAGTAGAGGTGGTTGCAGTCAAGTACAGGTGGTCACGTAGTGGAAATTGTAGTTAAGTACAGGTGGTTAGGTAGTGGGGGTTGTACAGGTGGTTAGGTAATGGGGGTTGTACAGGTGGTTAGGTAATGGGGGTTGTAGTTTAGTACAGGTGGTTAGGTAGTGGGGGTTGTAGTTAAGTACAGGTGGTCACGTAGTGGAGGTTGTAGTTAAGTACAGGTGGTTAGGTAGTGGAGGTTGTAGTTAAGTACAGGTGGTTAGGTAGTGGAGGTTGTAGTTAAGTACAGGTGGTTAGGTAGTGGAGGTTGTAGTTAAGTACAGGTGGTTAGGTAGTGGAGGTTGTAGTTAAGTACAGGTGGTGAGGTAGTGGAGGTTGTAGTTAAGTACAGTAGTGGTTAGGTAGTGGAGGTTGTAGTTAAGTACAGGTGGTTAGGTAGTGGAGGTTGTAGTTAAGTACAGGTGGTTAGGTAGTGGAGGTTGTAGTTAAGTACAGGTGGTTAGGTAGTGGAGGTTGTAGTTAAGTACAGGTGGTTAGGTAGTGGAGGTTGTAGTTAAGTACAGGTGGTTAGGTAGTGGAGGTTGTAGTTAAGTACAGGTGGTTAGGTAGTGGAGGTTGTAGTTAAGTACAGGTGGTTAGGTAGTGGAGGTTGTAGTTAAGTACAGGTGGTTAGGTAGTGGAGGTTGTAGTTAAGTGGTGGTTAGGTAGTGGAGGTTGTAGTTAAGTACAGGTGGTTAGGTAGTGGAGGTTGTAGTTAAGTACAGGTGGTCACGTAGTGGAGGTTGTAGTTAAGTACAGGTGGTTAGGTAGTGGGGGTCGTAGTTTAGTACTTGTGTTTAGGTAGAGGAGGTCGTAGGTAAGTACAGGTGGTTAGGTAGTGGAGGTTGTAGTTAAGTACAGGTGGTTAGGTAGTGGAGGTTGTAGTTAAGTACAGGTGGTTAGGTAGTGGAGGTTGTAGTTAAGTACAGGTGGTTAGGTAGTGGAGGTTGTAGTTAAGTACAGGTGGTTAGGTAGTGGAGGTTGTAGTTAAGTACAGGTGGTTAGGTAGTGGAGGTAGTTAAGTACAGGTGGAGGTTGGAGGTTGTAGTTAAGTACAGGTGGTTAGGTAGTGGAGGTTGTAGTTAAGTACAGGTGGTTAGGTAGTGGAGGTTGTAGTTAAGTACAAGTGGTGAGGTAGTGGAGGTTGTAGTTAAGTACAGGTGGTTAGGTAGTGGAGGTTGTAGTTAAGTACAGGTACAGGTGGTTAGGTAGTGGAGGTTGTAGTTAAGTACAGGTGGTTAGGTAGTGGAGGTTGTAGTTAAGTACAGGTGGTTAGGTAGTGGAGGTTGTAGTTAAGTACAGGTGGTTAGGTAGTGGAGGTTGTAGTTAAGTACAGGTGGTAGGTAGTGGAGGTTGTAGTACAGGTGGTTAGGTAGTGGAGGTTGTAGTTAAGTACAGGTGGTTAGGTAATAGAGGTTGTAGTTAAGTACAGGTGGTTAGGTAGTGGAGGTTGTAGTTAAGTACAGGTGGTTAGGTAGTGGAGGTTGTAGTTAAGTACAGGTGGTTAGGTAGTGGAGGTTGTAGTTAAGTACAGGTGGTTAGGTAGTGGAGGTTGTAGTTAAGTACAGGTGGTTAGGTAGTGGAGGTTGTAGTTAAGTACAGGTGGTTAGGTAGTGGAGGTTGTAGTTAAGTACAGGTGGTTAGGTAGTGGAGGTTGTAGTTAAGTACTGGTGGTTAGGTAGTGGAGGTTGTAGTTAAGTACAGGTGGTTAGGTAGTGGAGGTTGTAGTTAAGTACAGGTGGTTAGGTAGTGGAGGTTGTAGTTAAGTACAGGTGGTTAGGTAGTGGAGGTTGTAGTTAAGTACAGGTGGTTAGGTAGTGGAGGTTGTAGTTAAGTACAGGTGGTTAGGTAGTGGAGGTTGTAGTTAAGTACTGGAGGTTAGGTAGTGGAGGTTGTAGTTAAGTACTGGTGGTTAGGTAGTGGAGGTTGTAGTTAAGTACAGGTGGTTAGGTAGTGGAGGTTGTAGTTAAGTACAGGTGGTTAGGTAGTGGAGGTTGTAGTTAAGTACTGGAGGTTAGGTAGTGGAGGTTGTAGTTAAGTACTGGTGGTTAGGTAGTGGAGGTTGTAGTTAAGTACAGTTGGTTAGGTAGTGGAGGTTGTAGTTAAGTACAGGTGGTTAGGTAGTGGAGGTTGTAGTGTTATTGTTGATTTGCGTGATAGATAATTGATTTATTTGAGATTTTCTGTAAATAGCAGAATATTTATTTCAGGTTAGCTGTGATGGCGACCAAAGACAAGGAAGACAGTTTGGATCTTCATGCAATGATGGAGGATATAAACTGTATCATGTCAACTAGATACACACTAGTTGAGATATTGTATGCAGTTGTTGTCATGTCCCTGTTAGTTGATGATGATGATGAAGCCGATGCAACTATGGTTGTGGGGTGTATAGGTGAAGGAACTGACGGCTTCATGTATACTGAAGCATGTAGTGCTCTCGACATTATTATATCTTGTTCGAGAGATTTTGTAGCGTATGAGCATCATATGCCGAACATTTCCGCAAAAGTTTGGTTGTGTCAGATGCAATCGTGCACAACAGATTCTGGGTATGTTCACCTCCTAGTAAAACATCATGGAAAGGCATTCTTTCCATCTTGCCTAGGTGATGATATCTCAATACTGGATTATGATGAAACATCAGAGTGTTATTATTTCACTAATGCAGTGAATGCAAAAATGCTACGCAATTTCGGTTCATATGGTTTGTCCTCTGGTGTCGACATTTTGGGACCGTGCCTGGCCCTCTCAGAAGTGAATGAAGATATGAACTTGAACATGGTTGTAGGAATGAAGTGTTCCGAATGGCCGTCAGTGGCTGCCGAATGGATATCGCGAGAAAGATCGAACGGATGGCCACCAAGAGGGTTTATAGATCAACAAATTATGCGTGGTTGTCACGTAGTTCCTGTTGGTTGCAAGGGATGCGAACAAACACATCGAGACTGGAGAATTTCGTTTGCACATGTGGAACAAGAAATAGTCCACAACATGACCGCAAACCAAATGAAATGCTTCATATTGCTGAGACAGTTGAAGAAATTCTTTTTCAAAGTCAAAATACCAGACGTTATAACTTCCTACATCATCAAGACAACACTGTTCTGGACTATAGAGCAATCATCTCCAGAACTTTGGCAACCGCACAAACTCTCTACAGCAGTTAAAGTTTGCCTGAACAAGTTAATCTTGTTCGTACAGAATGACTTCTGTCCACATTACTTCATCAGAACATGTAACCTGCTTTTTGGAAGATATTCTCTAGAGAATAAGAGTAATGTCTTGCAAACTTGTTTGGAAGCCAGACGTAATCAAATGAAAATTTTGTGCGAAACTCCCCCGTTCGCAAAAGCCTTATCTCTCCGACACCGGGGCGAGCAGCTTTCCAAACAAAGGGCTGGTCAGTTGAAATCAGACGCAGATGAATGGTCTGAGGCAAAATTTCATTCCACTGATGTAAAACGCATCTTAGAAGACCTACTGCAAGACGAGTTGCGACAGATATTATCAACAAAAGACACCACACTTAAGTTAGAGGAATATTGTATACGTGTTAGACAGCAAATTGACGACTCCTGTTTTAAAAGCAGACAAAGATGTAAACAAGAAATGAGGAAATGCCGAAAGCTCATACATGACGTCACAGAACGGTTACTCCACATATGTTGGCTGGGACCGGCAAACCGGGAGGAATTACTTGACGTCTCTGCATTTCTTAACGATGAAGAGGACGTGAACAACATCTCCAACACCTGTCACGTGCTCATGTTGACTGAAGACTATTCCAGGTGTCATGATATACTTGGGAAGTTCATCACAGCTCAAAAACGAAAAGATTATAGAAGACTGCTGAAATTAGAATACTATCCAAAAGAACTCCAAGTGAAAAGAGAAGACATCAACCGGCATATCATTGGCGCCGGCGAAGAACTACTTAACATCTCAGATTTAATATTTCTACAAATAGAAGAGAACACTCTTCCTACTCCACTTCAAACTGAATTCTGTCAGATTGTGATAGGCCATCCGGAAGTTGATGCAGTGCCCGAAGATAGACCAACCGTCGTTGTAGATCCACTCGTTTACATCTGTTTCTTGAGGTTCTGGTGCAGCATGAAGATGGACCAAAATATTGAGAAGCTGAAGGCCCGGGATGATATGGCGTGGTGCTGTGGTGTTTGTACCATATCACAGAAATCAGTGGCCCTGAATCTACTGGCGTTTTGTCATTGTCAGCTCGAAGAGTACGAAGGGGCCTTTGAAGCGCTTTGTCGAGCATTCAGAGAGAAACCTGCAAAGTGTTCCACACTTGTGCATATCGCATGTTTGATAAATAATAGACTATTATAGCCATTTGACAAATATAACGACGATAATGCGTAAATGAAGATATTGACATTTGCACGGCAGGTTCACAATATGACGTAGGAAGAAACATCATGATGACGATTGCTGGTGATGATGATGGTGACAGTGAAGTTTACTTTTTATAACCTATGTTTCTCTGGTAACAGAGATTTTTATATCTTGTGAACAGCGTTCATATGGTACCGTGGATTTTATGTTGTATACTTTCTATTCACAGTGTTTTATGTTTAGTCCACCAAGTTCATTGTAACAGTCAGTTTATGCTGACACATAAAGTAACTCTTTGTCACGGGAATACATTACTGACATCAAAAATGCTTGAATCCGGGAATTTGAAAATTTATGTTTTTGTTATGTATGTTATAGTGAAAAGTGAATTCAATAACATTTTTTTTTATGTTAAACAGATTTTTCCAATAAAAAAGTAATCTTTTTGTACTTTTTTGCTGTTTTTTTTTCTTTTGTGAATATTCAATTAGACTCAAATTAACTTACTTTACTGCTTGGACTCTGTGAGGAACGGAAGAAACTATAGAGTTATATGGTAAAATGTACACTGAGACACGATAGATGTTGCTACGCCCTATAATGAAGGTAGGGTTAACTTTATAATATCAGCTATATATAGGATCTTAAGTGAGTTTTCATTGGAATCGAGATTTCATGAAACCAGCTTTGGAAGTATTTCATTAAAAATTTTGCAAGCCTTGGTGAGCATACCTTAAAACTTTGAAACAAGTTACATAATATATCATATTAAATGAAAACAATTTAATCTATGTTTTACTACATAAGTCCGACAGATCACTATCTGACAGGTTTAAAAGTAAAAATGTGGACAACATGAAACGGAAGCTGTCATTTGTTGTGTCATGTTGAATTAGTGATGTAAGGTGATTATCAATATTATGACAACATAATAGATTTCTGATTTGCATAGCCATTAAAAAAACGCACAATGGTATATAACACAAGTGACAAAGGCAGGAAAATATTACACGGGGAAATTCACCGGATAGCAGGCCAATTATGTGACCAAATGAAAATTATTTATCGAAATTGGGAACATGGACACAGCTGTGAAAAAGTTATGATCGTTGTGCTGATAGATTGTAGGTTGGTATAAACCTGATGATAGAGTTTTAATGGATTCGGTAGATAGTGATTTATGATGAAATATTTCTTATTTTGTTTTAAATTAAGTTGATATATATTTGATAAAGTCCTTATATCAATGCAATAATTACGAGTAATACGTAAGATAAACAGGTGTTCCATACATATAATGATAACATGGGGTTCCCAAACATTTAACAAATAAAAATCCAGGAAACAATGGACATATAATTATGGGATACTTCTCCCCAGTATAGTGAGTCAGTGATACCTCTCCCCGGTATAGTGTGTCAGTGATACCTCTCCCCAGTATAGTGAGTCAGTGATACTTCTCCCCAGTATAGTGAGTCAGTGATACCTCTCCCCGGTATAGTGAGTCAGTGATACTTCTCCCCAGTATAGTGAGTCACTGATACTTCTCCCCAGTATAGTGAGTCAGTGATGCCTCTCCCCGGTATAGTGAGTCATTGATGCCTCTCCCCGGTATAGTGAGTCAGTGATGCCTCTCCCCGGTATAGTGAGTCAGTGATGCCTCTCCCCGGTATAGTGAGTCAGTGATACTTCTCCCCAGTATAGTGAGTCAGTGATACTTCTCCCCGGTATAGTGAGTCAGTGATACTTCTCCCCGGTATAGTGAGTCAGTGATACTTCTCCCCGGTATAGTGAGTCAGTGATACTTCTCCCCGGTATAGTGAGTCAGTGATACTTTTCCCCTAGTGTATGAGTCAGTGATACTTCTCCCCTAGTGTAGTGAGTCAGTGATACTTCTCCCCTAGTGTATGAGTCAGTGATACTTCTCCCAAGTGTAGTGAGTCAGTGATACTTTTCCCCTAGTGTATGAGTCAGTGATACTTTTCCCCTAGTGTATGAGTCAATGATACTTTTCCCCTAGTGTATGAGTCAGTGATACTTCTCCCCAGTGTAGTGAGTCAGTGATACTTCTCCCCAGTATAGTGAGTCAGTGATACTTCTCCCCGGTATAGTGAGTCAGTGATACTTTTCCCCTAGTGTATGAGTCAGTGATACTTCTCCCCAGTATAGTGAGTCAGTGATACTTTTCCCCTAGTGTATGAGACAGTGATACTTCTCCCCAGTGTAGTGAGTCAGTGATACTTCTCCCCAGTGTAGTGAGTCAGTGATACTTTTCCCCTAGTGTATGAGTCAGTGATACTTCTCCCCAGTGTAGTGAGTCAGTGATACTTCTCCCCAGTGTAGTGAGTCAGTGATACTTTTCCCAATTGTAGTGAGTCAGTGATACTTTTCCCAAGTATAGTGAGTCAGTGATACTTTCACCCAGTGTAGTGAGTAAGTGATACTTATCACCCAGTGTAGTGAGTCAGTGATACTTTCCCCTAGTGTATGAGTCAGTGATACTTCTCCCCTAGTGTAGTGAGTCAGTGATACTTTTCGCCAGTGTATTGAGTCAGTGATACTTTTCGCCAGTGTAATGAGTCAGTGATACTTTTCGCCAGTGTATTGAGTCAGTGATACTTTTCGCCAGTGTAGTGAGTCAGTGATACTTCTCCCCAGTGTAGTGAGTCAGTGATACTTCTCCCCAGTGTAGTGAGTCAGTGATACTTTTCCCAAGTGTAGTGAGTCAGTGATACTTTTCCCAAGTATAGTGAGTCAGTGATACTTTCACCCAGTGTAGTGAGTAAGTGATAATATCACCCAGTGTAGTGAGTCAGTGATACTTTCCCCTAGTGTATGAGTCAGTGATACTTCTCCCCTAGTGTAGTGAGTCAGTGATACTTTTCGCCAGTGTATTGAGTCAGTGATACTTTTCGCCAGTGTAATGAGTCAGTGATACTTTTCACCAGTGTATTGAGTCAGTGATACTTTTCGCCAGTGTAGTGAGTCAGTGATACTTTTCCCAAGTGTAGTGAGTCAGTGATACTTTCACCCAGAGTAAAGAGTTAGTGAATTTTTCCCTGACGTGACTCAGTGGTTTATGTCCCCTGCAATGAGTCCGTGTTTAATTTTCCCTGTAATGAGTCAGTGGTTTATTTCTCCTCTAATGAGTCAGTGATTTATTTCCCCTGAATGAGTCAGTGTTTTTTTCCTCTTAAAGGAGTCAGTGATTTACTCTGTAATGACTCATTGGTTTATGTCCCCTGAAATGTGTCAGTGATTTCCCCCTTTATAGAGTGAGTGGTTTATGTCTCCTATAATGAGTCAATCATTTATTTCTCTGTGATGAGTCAGTGGTTTATTTCTCATGGAATGAGTCAGTGGTTAATTTCCCTTGTAATGACTCAGTGATTAATTTCTAATGTAATGACTCAGTGGTTAATTTCTCCTGGAATGAGTCAGTTATTTTATTTCCCTTGTAATGAGTCAGTGTTTTATCTCCCCTGTAATGAGTCAGTGGTTTATCTCCCCTGTAATGAGTCAGTGGTTTATCTCCCTTGTAATGAGTCAATGGTTTATCTCCCCTGTAATGAGTCAGTGGCTTATCTCCCCTGTAATGAGTCAGTGGTTTATTTCCCCTGTAATGAGTCAGTGTTTTATCTCCCCTGTAATGAGTCAGTGTTTTATCTCCCCTGTAATGAGTCAGTGTTTTATCTCCCCTGTAATGAGTCAGTGGTTTATCTCCACTGTAATGAGTCAGTGTTTTATCTCCCCTGTAATGTGTTAGTGTTTTATCTCCCCTGTAATGAGTCAGTGGTTTATCTCCCCTGTAATGAGTCAGTGTTTTATCTCCCTTGTAATGAGTTAGTGGTTTATCTCCCCTGTAATGAGTCAGTGGTTTATCTCCCCTGTAATGAGTTAGTGGTTTATCTCCCCTGTAATGAGATAAGGCACATGCTGCCATTGTTAGTACAGATTTTAAATTGAGAGATAAAATATTTCAAAATGCATCCAAAACAGTTATTTTTATAATATTAAGAATACAAAGCCCCTGAATGCAGCAATACTTATAAAATACAAAATCTGAAGCACACAATGTGTATGAGCTATTCTTAATGAAATATGTTTGATATACAACATTGATGTACAGTTTAAACAGTCGTTATATTTTGGGATAGAATGGCGGTTTACACTTTGCATAAAGCAAAATTATCAAGGCAGTTTCAAACTAACAGATTAAAGAAAGGATAAAAACCAGGGGAAAATTAACTTATTTGCCAACATTAAATAGGTTTTGAATTAATTATATATACAATTTCACAAGATTGGGCATGGGATAGAAGTTATTTCCAGATCAGCGACTTAGTCTGTCGTTGTTACTGCATTACCGTCCAGAACCGAACCGTAACAGAGTATGTCCCTCATGCTGTGTCTGTAGGCCCTGAACAACATAGAGTTGATTGTAGTCTATTGCATGTAAAACGTATTGCTTTAAAATTTCTTTCTCGTTTACATTTCCTTAGAACACTAAATTAGAAAATATATTAGAAATAAGATGAAAACAAAAATCCGGTGAATTATTCAAACGTATGCTAGTGTTCTTTTTATCATGTATATATACAAATACATCATTAACGTTAAAATAAGTACCTTGTTGAGAATGTGGCAGCATTTCAAGGACCCAATGCCTCAGTTAATATTGAAAAAAATGAATAAAACAAGAGGCCAAATGGGCCCCTTTCGGTCACCTGGTATTTAATGTTCATCAAGCATACGATCAATGTTCATAACAAATACATTATCACGTGCACCATTGGCATTTAAAGTGGTCACATTCAATCAGTATTAGCAAATCATTTTTAGCCGATTTAGAATCAGTATTAGCCAATTTAGATCAGTATTAACCAATTTAGAATCAGTATTAGCCAATTTAGATCAGTATTAACCAATTTAGAATCAGTATTAGTCAACTTAGATCAGTATTAGCCGATTTAGAATCAGTATTAGCCAACTTAGATCAGTATTAGCCGATTTAGATCAGTATTAGCCAATTTAGATCAGTATTAGCCAATTTAGATCAGTATTAACCACTTTAGATCAGTATTAACCAATTTAGAATCAGTATTAGTCAACTTA